ATTACAAAAATTGAATACTTGAGGCTGAAATGAAGTACCCATACCCCAATCTGCAATAATCATTCAAAATCCAGACACATTAATTGCTTCTTCTCTTTACTCATTGTTAAAGTCAAGCCTTAAGTGACATTTAAACATTTTAAGAGTAGTGTAGTGTCATCTGTGCCCTTATACCTTAACATGTAAGAGCAAAAGTTCTGAATGAGGAAATGAATTAAACCTTTCAACTTCAAAGCGATCCTGGGTTAAGGCATTGTCAGATCAAAAACATAGGTAACAAAATTGCATGAACTTCTGGCCCTGACAAACCTCTCCAACAGGTGAACTGAAATTGGTCCAAGGGATATTCAAAACAGTGACTGAAAACATTCTCCACACAAATATAATAATCAACCAAGCAAGTTACCTTGTGAGAAAAACTTAAGCTGTCGCATTGCTTCTAAAGAACAATTCTTCTGAAGATACTGACCAAGCTGTTGCAGAAGGTCACTGCACCTATATCAATATATAAACATGTGCGATACTGACAACTTATCTATATCATTTAACAACCCTAAAATCAGTGACGTTACAACACTTTATCACTTCATAAATTCTATTTTGAATTAGTACATGTTTAATAAGTACTGAATACAGTAGGTGTAATGAAGGACATTGCAATGTCCCTGAACTTACCACAGCAAATGCTGTTCAAAGTGTTTGGAATGTAATAATACTACTGTCCTACTGGTTTTACATGCTTAAGGTTGATTAAGAATTTGAAATAAGAAAATATCTAAATGTACACCATTCAGAAACATTATTAACATGTTTATAATTTCTCTACTGGTTGACCATGGGTGAATGTCATATTATACTGCTTCTAAACACAAATTCATATTCAAATCAGACAATACTGACGGGCTCCGCCTGATTGCTATAGTGACAGATGAAGTTTCAAGTGTCTTCATACTTGACAATATCTACTTGTAATTGGACAATGTGTGAATTTTCAGTAAGAAGCCACATCCACTCAACAGCAGTCATTTTGTTCAACCAGGAAGCAAAAATGGCATTATATTAATGTTTGTAATATAATAACACGCCTTCCAAATTTTGAATAAAATGAGACAATACCAACGTTTTACCAATCATTTACTTACACATAAATTCAATAAAATATCTTTAAGTTCACTTCTGTAACACACATTACAATAATAAAACAATTAAGAAGTCTGTCTAGGATCTTGGTGCCCACTACTCTTAGATCTATAAAACCACAACATCTTTTCCCTTCTGTACTGTCCAAGATGGCAACTTGTCAGCCATTTTGCTTTTCTGATCAAACACAGATTAAAAGGTACAACTAGGGAAGGAAAAGAACCTTTATATGGAGAGATTCATTCAGTACTCTTCTCAAGGAATAAGCAAAACAAACTTTAACTGTCAAAGCGAAGACTGCCACATGTCGACCATTTTGTTTTTTCAATCCGACTCAACATTGAATGAACACAACTAGAGAAAGAGAGTGACCTTCTTACTATTATGCTAAGTCTGAGATAAAAACATATTAAGGAACTCTAAAGAACTAATGATAACAAACTTCCACTGTCAAAATCCAAGATGACTGTCTGTTGGCCATTTTGTTTCACTGATCCGTCTCAAAATTACATTGACGCAATTAAGGGCAAAAGGGAATCTAAATAAGTTTGAAAAATATCCTTCACTGATCAGACTTAAAATTGAATGTGGACAATTAGAAATGAACCTCCAGTAATTTGTTTAACTTTAGATAAACAATGGTTCTTGTTTCGCAGTATTCTATCGTCTTCCAGTCTCAATTCCAATTACGTAGGTATGTGTAATGAGTAATTTATTCTTAATTCGATATATACTGAATTAATTTAAGATAATTTTATTAGTAAGCTTCAAATAAAAGTTGGGGTTTGAACTATTAGATAGGTTTGTCCTCTAGATGAGGTTCCATTGTCTAAAAACCATTTCTTCATAAACTGATCTGTGTTACGGTATGTTACATTGATAGAAGCTTTCAGGCATTTGTAGTAATGGAGCTACCTCACCGATCAGTATGCGAGAGGACCGTCGCACGAGCACAAAACAGTACGTTTCTCTCAGCTTCGTGTGACATACAAACCGCCTTGAACGAAAGGAAGAGTCCACTCGGACATCTGGGATATTTACCTGAGGTCATGTAGGCCCATGATTTAACCGACTATCACATTTAACATCATGATGGTCGTGTACATAATTCGATTCCAGATGATACGCTATTAGGTCATCTATTCACTTGATACTTTTTCTCGCATCAGGGATCGTATCTCCATCGATATTACTCAAACAATCCGATGATGTTGAATAACATGGAAACTTTAAACCGTATTCTGATTTCCATCTTAATAATTTCATATATTCAAGATAATATGTTACATTTTGTACCGACTATTTCTTTTCAGTGCATTCTCTTTATGACACAATGAATCAGACAATTAGTCATGGAAAGGAAGGAATAGGTGACCGGGGTTGCCAATCCAATTTCACATGTTCAATGCGGTGTATGTCCATGCCACACATCTACGTCGCATAGATCTAATCAAGGTACTCGGAAATGCCTGGGCAGTATTCAACGACATGCCTAACATGATATGACGCAATGCGTCCAACATCGCGGTATGTTTAGCTAAGACTTGATTAACATGGAATATAATTTCTACATCGGATTTCATCACCATATAAAAATGTAGGAATATTAATTAATTTCTTTAAAAATAATTCCTAATTAAATTTCTGTTGGTTCTATTGACGTCACATTGACTGATGTTAGATTTCATTTTTAAAATGTGAAGAAGTTTCTTGTATAATATATATAACTACGAATGATGTTAACTGTACAAATATATTTCTTACAACTGACATTTAATTAAGGTTGGTATTACATTGTGATGGGTGAAGTCAATGAACTCTTTAAATTGGTGACGTAAGGACTGAGATAGATGTTGATTTATTGATTAATACAGTATACAAGACAAATATAATCTTAATGATAACACGCTACTGAACATGTCCTTTCTTTGGTTTGTATGACACCGTAATTGTAACAGCTGCAATCACAGTTACATTGGTCAAACTAAATTAAGATTTGGAACATGTCTCAAGGAAAGTCGACGGCACAATGGAGAACAAAGTATGTCAGACAAACACCAGGAAATCACCCGAAACAGAAATCAGCTATTACATACCATGCCGATATTTATAATCACATCATAGACCGGAACAGTTCTAAGGTACTGCGAGAGAGGATAACTGGAAACAGATCAGGATATACATCTAGGTCAGTGAGAGCTTATGAACGAAGACGAATTACAGCACCAGCTGAGTCACCTTTAGGGACCCGGAATGAATGAAACATTGAACATTCTTCAGACTGCCGGCGGTATAGAGTGCCATGGTGACAAAAATGCGTTCTGACAAATTTACAACTGGCTTTCCTCCATTCGCTGAATAATAAACTGTCTCCATTGACACTATTGGATTGAGGAAACAGACGTCATCGAAAGCTCGCAAAAATAAAACATAAACATCTTATTGAAAATGGGTACTGTTTTTATATATAGAATTGTCAATATTGTGATAGGTCTCCTTACTGTAAGGTTGGTATATATAGAATTGTCAATATTGTGATAGGTCTCCTTACTGTAAGGTTGGTATATATAGAATTGTCAATATTGTGATAGGCCTCCTTACTGTAACGTTGGTATATATAGAATTGTCAATATTGTTATAGGCCTCCTTACTGTAAGGTTGGTATATATAGAACTGTCAATAATGTGATAGGTCTCCTTACTGTAAGGTTGGTATATATAGAACTGTCAATATTGTGATAGGTCTCCTTACTGTAATGTTGGTATATATAGAACTGTCAATATTGTGATAGGTCTCCTTACTGTAAGGTTGATATATATAGAACTGTCAATATTGTGATAGGTCTCCTTACTGTAAGGTTGGTATATATAGAACTGTCAATATTGTGATAGGTCTCCTTACTGTAAGGTTGGTATATATAGAACTGTCAATATTGTTATAGGCTTCCTTACTGTAAGGTTGGTATATATAGAACTGTCAATAATGTGATAGGTCTCCTTACTGTAAGGTTGGTATATATAGAACTGTCAATATTGTTATAGGTCTCCTTACTGTAATGTTGGTATATATAGAACTGTCAATATTGTGATAGGTCTCCTTACTGTAAGGTTGGCATATATAGAACTGTCAATATTGTGATAGGTCTCCTTACTGTAAGGTTGGTATATATAGAACTGTCAATATTGTGATAGGTCTCCTTACTGTAAGGTTGGTATATATAGAACTGTCAATATTGTGATAGGTCTCCTTACTGTAAGGTTGGTATATATAGAACTGTCAATATTGTGATAGGTCTCCTTACTGTAAGGTTGGTATATATAGAACTGTCAATATTGTGATAGGTCTCCTTACTGTAAGGTTGGTATATCTAGAATTGTCAATATTGTGATAGGTCTCCTTACTGTAAGGTTGGTATATATAGAACTGTCAATATTGTGATAGGTATCCTTACTGTAAGGTTGGTATATATAGAATTTTCAATATTGTGCTAGGCCTCCTTACTGTAATGTTGGTATATAGAGAATTTTCAATAATGTGATAGGTCTCCTTACTTTGAGATTGGTATATATCTAGATACTATTACAATTTGTGTGATCGGCCTTCTTGGTGTACGGTATTTATTCTGCAGTTGGTTCATAGACACAAAATGTCAGTATGTTGAAATCATTTATATAATTATATCATTGTACTTTCTTTTAAATCATTTCCACGTGTTTTTTGTTGTTGTTCTTTTAAATAAAATGCTCACTTAATGGGTATATGAAAGATTCTAATGAATCAAATAAAAAATATATAAGGGAGCAAGCATCTTGTATTTAAATTTTAATGTAAAGCGGTCAACAGCATGTTTTCACAAACATTTAGCCGACAGCAGTGTGAGGACAAACTACTTGGGAGTTTTGACATCGACAAACTTGTCCTGTCTGATGGATTCTGTCGCCTTCCTGGAACAATCTGGAAAAACAAACTGATTGCTGAATATCTTATCTTAAAGATCTCTTTATCAGTTCATATAAAAAACTGTTTTCGAAAATCGTGTATATCATCAAGGGGATATTCTATGAGGCAATCACGATTTTTATCGAGGATTAAAAGACTTAAAATCATTTTTGTTTTGTCAGACAAAATATGGTTGTTTGGGGCTAAAATAAGACACTCTGAAGTCACTATGTATTACTTTTTCTATAATGTGACGATTCATACTCTACAATTATAGAAACCAACAAGCATTTCTCTCCTTGCTTCGTTGTAATCACAAAAGTCTTTTATTGATAAATCTAGGATATACTGACCGCTAATAAAACTGAAGTCAAACAGCTGTTTCATCCTTAATATGAGGTTACGTAAAATGAGTTAAGATACATTTTACAATATAAAAGAAAAAAATAATAGACAAATTGTGTCTAACGACATTTGGTTACAAAGTCGGAAGCATCCAAAAAACCTCTCATTTATAAAATACTTATCTATCAAAAGAGTGAACTCACCCCTCGTGTGTCAAACAAGTTGGAATATTCTGTGCACCTGAAATGAATTTTATAAAACGAATTTGAGCACGGAGCATTATGCTGTTGTTTTTGGGTCTTGTTTTATGGAATAGTTCTAATCGGTCGAGAATCAGACAAGGAAACGATCAAATAACATTTTTGACTTTCTTATTTTTGAAAACATAAACATTTATACCAGGTTATTTTTCTGACTTTGAAATGAATATAATGTTCTTCCTATAAAGCAAACCTGTGAGAACAACTGCTCCAGTATTTGGACATGACGTAGCATTTTTAACTCGTAGGTGATAGCCGTCAATCCAGGCAATCTGGGGAGAAATTGGCGTTGATCAATGAATACATGATATGTCATGGCACCACCTCTATAATCACCGACTTGTTTATTGGTTATATGTGAAGTTCCAGTACTCAGACTCGCAGGTACGAGCCATCTTATCAAGTAATCGTTTATATTCAGTTGGAATAAATGATTTAGTTCAACCATTGTATACTACCTGTATGCTTAGTATATCTAACAGTAAGAAAGCGAGTATGCATATCTCATGTAAGCTTGTACAAAAGACACACACTTGAATAGCACTATTCAATACCAATGTAGAATTTGAAACAGGACAGTCCAATATTGAACTATACTACATTATATAGCTGTTTCGTGGGTGTTTTAACGCCAGGAGATAACTTGAAGAAATCCAAAGTGGTCAAAAGAAATTTAGGAATCTAGATGAGGAGATGTACCAGCCGGAAAAATCAATAAATGTTCTTATTTTTGATTATGTCAAGTAAGGTCTTACCTACAGTTTAAATATATATACACTTAATTTTAGATATTTAGTAATTCTTTTCAAAGTTTTCAAGATTTAAGATGAAAATGTCATTTTTGTGTGTCGTTTTAATGCATTTATGGTCTCATTCATTGCAGTCAACAAGATGACATATACTTCCTGAAAGTTATTTAAAATTCAGGACGTTGTAGAAAAGTTTTTGTAAGGGTTGATATAGAGTGATATTTAGTTATAAATTCTCTAATTTTGTAATTCATCAGACAGTAAGGATTGGTCGGAAGCAACTGCAAAAGACTCTCGGAAGAATACATGGAGTATTATGAGACTGGTAAGACACACTTCATGTGAAGATAAGATAGGAAACAAAAGTAATCATTAATTATATATTGTATCCATCAATTTTAATCCGGATGATAGCTTTTAATAGATATAACTGTCAATTTGATTCACCTGGCCTTTGATTTCTTTCACTTCATACCAAGACTGACCCTCTTCATGGCCCTCGTGGAATAACCCTCCATTGGACACGAAGCACTCGTTGACCTGCAACGTGCCGGCTATCAAGTACTGGGGGCCAGCTACAAATACAAATCAGTCTAGAATGGAGGAAAGGTAGTAGATGAAAGGTAGGAAAGACTGAGAAACGAAGAGATCAATATGGAAAGGATCATGGAAGAAACAGGCACGATCTAATGTTTCTGATACTATTATACATTACGTGATATAACCACAATACCTATATTATCAAAGCAGTAAGGTTAAACAATGTATTGATCTCCGTGAGAGTAAATAATGACCAATTGCTTGATAGAACCTTTTTAGTTGATATTCAAAGACGGTAATATTTGAAAATGAAAACTTCCAAAATCAAACAACCATATATGCTTTGGTATGCGATTCTGCCAGATAAAAAATTGGCCTTACGTCCAGTCCTGGCATACACGTCCGAGTCAGCAACACACAGACATAGTCCGTCGTGAAGAAGTTGATGAATTTGAGCGGCATGGTTCAAGACACACAGGCAAACAGTCAACGCTACAAACAAAATAATACGCATGATTAATACACCGTTTAGAAAGGCGCAATTATGTCAAGAAATACACCAAATATCACGTGATATATTACGTCACAGACTCTGATAAGATATCTAATCGTTCCGAGTGCTTTCTCAACCTGGTAATCTCACAGGTGAATAAAAATATTTTTAAATGTACTATATATCTGTGAACAATTCTTGAGATGAGAGGTCTCCTTTCAACGTCATACTTCTAGTTTTCTGGTTAAACATATATAGTGATTTCTGAGCTACTCGTGATTACACTCTTCTGGCCAAACTATTGATAACTCAAAAATACAAATCATTGAAAAATACAGGAAAATTGGGGTTAGAGTTTTGGACAAAATTTGAATTTGAAATTCATAATATAATTGTCCTCCATGTCACAACCTGACGGAAAATACAATCTTTTCATGTACAACAAATTAGTTTACTGGAACACATTTTCAAGCAGTTTTTAGGATAGTAACAATGAGAACAAATCCGAACATATTCTCTTTTAAAATTATCAATAGTACAGAAACATTTGAATTCGTCAAAGGTGATGATAATAAGATAATGAGAAATTAATGCAGACCTACTTGCTGTTACATTTGACACACACAGATAAAGTGGATGTGATGAACTAATCGATAATGATAATCTTTTAATGATATTGTCATGGCATCCCACAGATTAACATTGGTCATACTTCTATAAGCAACATTTTGCCTGTACGTGTCATCACTAATTCCTTCACACTTTCACCGACCCCCTAAAGCAACTTTTGCATATCATTTTGATGTGGTTGTAATTTGAGAAATTGTGGACACTCATTTTAATGAACAATAAAACGACAGGCGGGGATTACGTGGTGTGGCGTTATCTAATCCAGGTAATCTCAATTAGAAATGTGTACATGGTACAGATACACTGATCAGTGTGAGGTAAGCTATAGTTACTATAGATACACTGATCAGTGTTAGGTAAGCTGTAGTTACTATAGATACACTGATCAGTGTTAGGTAAGCTGTAGTTACTATAGATACACAGATCAGTGTGAGGTAAGCTGTAGTTACTATAGATACACTGATCAGTGTGAGGTAAGCTGTAGCTACTATAGATTCACAGATCAGTGTGAGGTAAGCTGTAGTTACTATAGATACACAGATCAGTGTGAGGTAAGCTGTAGTTACTATAGATACACAGATCAGTGTGAGGTAAGCTGTAGTTACTATAGATACACTAATCAGTGTGCGGTAAGCTGTAGTTACTATAGATACACAGATCAGTGTGAGGTAAGCTGTAGTTACTATAGATACACTAATCAGTGTTAGGTAAGCTGTAGTTACTATAGATACACTAATCAGTGTGAGGTAAGCTGTAGTTACTATAGATACACTAATCAGTGTTAGGTAAGCTGTAGTTACTATAGATACACAGATCAGTGTGAGGTAAGCTGTAGTTACTATAGATACACTAATCAGTGTGAGGTAAGCTGTAGTTACTATAGATACACTAATCAGTGTGAGGTAAGCTGTAGTTACTATAGATACACTAATCAGTGTGAGGTAAGCTGTAGTTACTATAGATACACAGATCAGTGTTAGGTAAGCTGTAGTTACTATAGATACACTAATCAGTGTGAGGTAAGCTGTAGTTACTATAGATACACTGATCAGTGTGAGGTAAGCTGTAGTTACTATAGATACACTGATCAGTGTGAGGTAAGCTGTAGTTACTATAGATACACAGATCAGTGTGCGGTAAGCTGTAGTTACTATAGATACACAGATCAGTGTTAGGTAAGCTGTAGTTACTATAGATACACAGATCAGTGTGAGGTAAGCTGTAGTTACTATAGATACACTAATCAGTGTTAGGTAAGCTGTAGTTACTATAGATACACTAATCAGTGTGAGGTAAGCTGTAGTTACTACAGATACACTAATCAGTGTTAGGTAAGCTGTAGTTACTACAGATACACTAATCAGTGTTAGATAAGTAGTAGTTAGTACAGATGCACTAATTAGTGTTAGGTAAGCTGTAGTTACTACAGATGCATTTATCAGTGTACAGATGCACTAAACAGTGTTAGGTAAGCTGTAGTTACTACAGATGCACTTATCAGTGTTAGATAAGTAGTAGTTAGTACAGATGCACTAATTAGTGTTAGGTAAGCTGTAGTTAGTACAGATGCACTAATTAGTGTTAGGTAAGCTGTAGTTAGTACAGATGCACTAAACAGTGTTAGGTAAGCTGTAGTTAGTACAGATGCACTAATTAGTGTTAGGTAAGCTGTAGTTAGTACAGATGCATTAATCAGTGTGCGGTAAGCTGTAGTTAGTACAGATGCACTAATTAGTGTTAGGTAAGCTGTAGTTAGTACAGATGCATTAATCAGTGTGCGGTAAGCTGTAGTTAGTACAGATGCACTAATCAGTGTTAGTTAAGCTGTAGTTAGTACAGATGCACTAATCAGTGTTAGGTAAGCTGTAGTTAGTACAGATGCACTAAACAGTGTTAGGTAAGCTGTAGCTAGTACAGATGCACTAATCAGTGTGCGGTAAGCTGTAGTTAGTACAGATGCACTAATCAGTGTTAGTTAAGCTGTAGTTAGTACAGATGCACTAATCAGTGTTAGGTAAGCTGTAGTTAGTACAGATGCACTAAACAGTGTTAGGTAAGCTGTAGCTAGTACAGATGCACTAATCAGTGTGCGGTAAGCTGTAGTTAGTACAGATGCACTAATGAGTTTGATGTTATTTGATATAACATTCATAGAAGGGATTCATGTATTAATGAAGGAAGCATGATAATCTCGTACATATCTGATCTCACCACGATCACAGGTCACTCCATAGCTAATAGCATAGCATTGTGTTCTAGATAGGTTGTCTTCAGAATCAACAGCGTTTGTCTTCATTAGACATAGGACAAACGTATTGATGAAAACATCGAAGTGCTACAGCTCTGGTAAATTAAACATGAATTGTCTATTTCGTATAAACTGTTGGAAGAAATCCGAAACCGCTGTAAACCTTAGTATGTAATTCCCCATGAGGAAGCAAATGGCAGTAGTGATAATTCATACTGGTATCGATTATTTGTCGTTTGTATATATAAAGAAAAATGAAAAGTATTCACATGGAGGATTTAAAAAAAGGGATGGGGTGGGAGGGAGGGGTCAAATTGTTTCATTTCGGGGTTCCAAGAGAAAGCAATATATGTTTCATTGACCTTTTCACTTTGTATATTTACTATCACGTGACCAATGAGGTGAAATGCCCTTAGAGATTGAAATAATTACATCAATTTACAATACTCTCCTTAGTCAGTTAGAATGGTTGTGAAAACACAACACATTGACGTAGTGCCTTCATTATGGAAGTTCCTTTGTGACTTTATACAAAGGACACTGTCATCAAAATTAGCCGTATTTACGCAACTTCTAAAACACAGAAAATATTGTCGGTTAATGCTGCAGATATGTATTCATATTTGTAACAAACACCACTAAGATAGTGACCTGTCACTGGTTACATATCAATATGACACTACATTATAACATGTACATGACATATCTTTTGTCTTTGGTATATGTCACTATTCATAAAACATACATATTATTCACAATATATGCAGCTGACTTGACCTTATATTTCCATGCATTAAAATAAGGTTCACCATGAAAATGCCCCGAAATACTCTCTCCTTCCGTTTGGCGCCTCTCCTTTTACCGGTGTCATCGTAACCTGGTTTATAAATATGATATTACATTGTCTGCTATGAAATGAGCAAATCAGAGGCAGAATAACTTTATTGAGGTGATACCAAATTATTTTAAAGGCCGTTCTAATTGTATCTCCTTAGCACAATTTGAGACTTTTGCACATTTCTTCAGGTAAAGTGTTAACTAGTCTGTAGACTAGAAAGAAAGATTTACAGATATTTCTGAAGTACGAGAATAAGACCAGGTGTTCCGGAAAAGCAAGCATCTTCTGATTCAACGACAGCTACCACCATATAAATTAATCAACAACGTAAATAACCACGGAATCACAGGCACACAAACGGGTATTAAACAAGTCCAGGTTCGTATCGCAGAAAGAAACAGATTAATTGCAGCTGGTCTCATTAAACCGACAAAGGAATTCTTCATATTCCTAAGTTTGCCATAGGGATGTTATTTTAGAAATATTCTGTTTCTCTGTGTGATATTATGCATGGGCGTGTTTGATGCTCAACTGTTTGCCTGTAGGTTCTGTTGTTGTGTACCTTGTTCTCATCTGTTTGCCTGAAGGTTCTGTTGTTGTGTACCTTGTTCTCATCTGTTTGCCTGAAGGTTCTGTTGTTGTGTACCTTGTTCTCATCTGTTTGCCTGAAATTTCTGTTGTTGTGTACCTTGTTCTCAACTGTTTGCCTGTAGGTTCTGTTGTTGTGTACCTTGTTCTCATCTGTTTGCCTGAAGGTTCTGTTGTTGTGTACCTTGTTCTCATCTGTTTGCCTGTAGGTTCTGTTGTTGTGTACCTTGTTCTCATCTGTTTGCCTGTAGGTTCTGTTGTTGTGTACCTTGTTCTCATCTGTTTGCCTGTAGGTTCTGTTGTTGTGTACCTTGTTCTCAACTGTTTGCCTGAAGGTTCTGTTGTTGTGTACCTTGTTCTCAACTGTTTGCCTGAAGGTTCTGTTGTTGTGTACCTTGTTCTCAACTGTTTGCCTGTAGGTTCTGTTGTTGTGTACCTTGTTCTCATCTGTTTGCCTGTAGGTTCTGTTGTTGTGTACCTTGTTCTCATCTGTTTGCCTGTAGGTTCTGTTGTTGTGTACCTTGTTCTCATCTGTTTGCCTGTAGGTTCTGTTGTTGTGTACCTTGTTCTCATTTGAGTGACATATCTTACCTTGGATTGACCAAGGTTTACATGGCGGGTGTCGTCAATGAAGCAGAAGACGCTTACTCTTTCGGAACAGCTGGTTTTATTCTCCTTGTACTTTTCAAGAGTCTAAGTGTAAATACTTCCTTTGTT